GACGTATGTTTTCTTCCAATTTTTCCGGAGCGGGATGCTGAATACTGGACACCAAGTTTCATATAGTTTTACATATTATACATTATTCATCAAAATGTGAAGCGAAAATAAGATTTAACGTCGTAAATGATCCTGAACGATAATTTTTTAGGACCTTGTGTTGAAATGAACAGAGCATTACTTATAGAATATTTGCGATAGACAGCAGGACTGAGTAATTTGATTTCATTAAAAGCATGGAGGTGTAAACAAAATATATACATTGGTGCAAAGTTATGTTTTCTTTCAATAGTGGCTTGTTCTAAGCGCGGATCCCTCAATAGTAAGTGTCGTCTATACTTATGTATTTATAGGTAGTTCACCTACGAGCAAGAGCGTCCGTGAAATAATCAAAGTATCTAAAATTTGAGCATGTCAACGGGTAATTAAAAACCAGTTTGCTCGTACTTTACATCGACAATATGTTCATTCCAAACATCAATCCTTTTGGTTAAACTGAAAAGGTCAAGGAACGAGCCTAATGGAAGTCAGCAGGTAATTTAGTGTTAACAACTGGGTTGAAAACGTAAATTAGCCACCGTAAAAGGTAAAAAAGCTGACGTTTCGAGCTTTAGCGCTTCGTCAGAGCGATGGACGAAGGGCTAACGCTCGAAACGTCAGCTTTTAAATAACCCGCTATACTCTCCCACCGACGCAGCACCACAGTTTCTTTAGAAACTTACACCTTTATTCTAATGGAAGTAAGTTGACAATTGCGCACACCACCATGAATTTTCACGAAAATGAGATATCTTAGACCCGTTTAAATTAAGATCTTAAGCCTTGATCTGATACGGGTGAATAAATAAAGATTCAGTGGATAGAAGGCGCCTGCACTAAGTTATTCAATACCGTCGGAGCATTCACTACCAGTAATGTTGAATGGCATCCCTCCTGACCTTTACGGTTTTCTCAGAAAGTTGATGCGGAAAAGAAGTAGAAACTTGTACATTAGTCATTGCGCATTACGATGAAACAAGACGACTGCCGTGCACGTAGTTTGTGAATTTGAGT